AAGACCTGGTAGCTGGTAGACTGAACATCTGAGTCTCCAGATGGTTGGCAATGTTGTGGTGGCTAGATTTTTTCATGTAGGCATGTTTATAATGTCTGAATGACCGTGGTCTTCAAGTGGTTGTCTGCAGACTCAGAGCATGCCTCTGCTGCATGCAAGCCAATGGGGAGGGACGAAACAGGAGGAGAAATCTCTAAAAAGCTAGTGGATGTGTGTTTGAGCGAAAAATGGAGAGAAGAATGTGAGATTAAAATATGGGCAGCGCTGGAACTGAATGCTTAAAATTAGAGAATTATGTTTTCACGTGTTTCTGTAACCAGTGCTTTTTAGCTTAAGACTTGATATCTTGAAGCCTTGCATTTTCCGAAAAACGGTCTAGTTAGGGATGTCTGAGCACGTAACACCGATTCACCCTCAGCTGAGAAGTGAGCAACAGCCAAATGACACCGATAAAGGCAGTACAGAACTTACCATTTTCCTCATCAGTGATGCTATCTGGGTTAAGTAACCACAGTGACTCGGTCCTATTTAAAAACTTTAGTAGGAATTTTCCTATCATTTTTTAAAATAAAATTTTAATCTACTATATAATTGGCGGCAGCTGTAACTGCTCTTTTTTATCGGCCAGCATGTACGAACCTCTCCACTTAGCCAATGATATTTGCCTAGATTTTCTAAAACTAGTAAAACCTACCTTTGACCTCCTGCGATTTTGTTTCACCCATGAAACAAGCTTACAATTCATTTTCTTATGTGATTGTTTAAAGCTATCTTCAAGAATAGGTAGTAAAGTACGCACGAATGTTGGAGACGTATTATTAGAAAAATAGGGAGAGTGAGGAGGAGACAGTTTCTCTCCCTAGCCCGTCCTAGAGTGCACTATGAGATTCCACAGACATGCACTGGTCACATTATGTTTGCATCGCACTTGGCGCGTGGGTTTCAGTCTTAACCGCCGTTTGAATTTTAGCAAGTCAATGAATCCTGCTGAACCAACAATACGGTCTACAGTTCATCATACACGTAAACACATAAAAAGGCAGAG